CCAAAATAATAATAATAATAATAATAATAATAATAATAATAATAATCTACAGTAAATGTGGGAACTGAGCTCAGGTCCTCTGGAACAGTAGTATGGGCTTTTCATATCCAAGCCTATGTTCAGCCTAGGATTGGAATTTATTTTTCTTCCTCAAATGCTTTGTTGAGGGAGGTGATTTGGGGGGTAAAATGCTATTCATTTTTGAAGTAGGATCTTCTTATGTAGCCTAGCCTGTCTTGGAACTTGCAGTGTAGGCCAGGCTGGCTTGGAAATTGATAGCAGCCTCCTGAGTAGAGACAAAAGGCTCATACCACTGGGCGGAGTTGCCATTCTTGACTCTGCTCCTAGCCGCATCTCCATTTGTATAGCTGGTGCAGAGGTCTGCTGAACTGGGCCAAGTGTAGCTGCCACTGGGGCGGGGACAGACCCTGGCGGAGCCCCCCAGAGAGGGTGGCTTTGGCTTGGTTGCTGCCACCAGTCCCCAAGGAGCCGCTGCAGCTTGGGGATTTGCTTCAGTACCTGTTCCATCAGGTCCTCCAGCTACTTCAGGGTCTGCCCTGTGTCCTCTTTCTCCTGCTTTTCCCGAGACACTGGAGCTGCAGCAGCTCCTGGTGGATGGTCCCAGAGGCAGACTGGTCTTCACATGAAGGAGATTTCCTCCTTGGAGACCCCACTGGTCTTGGAGAAAGAGAAGGGCTTGGTGGAGAGAGGCAGCTTTTGGCAAGAGTAGCTGAGGTGGTTTCCATATAGGCAGCCCCAGAGTGCGGTTCAGTGAGGTGTGGCTGGAACTCCTTGGGTTAGTGGGATGCAGCTGATGGTTGGTAAGATCCTGGATAGTTGAATGTGGGCCAGGTGTTGGGCTTCCTCCTTCGAGCAGTGGAGCAGTCCCTGGCTCTGTGGGGCTACTGCCTCTGTGGTGGAACAACCTTCTGCTCCGTCAGAACCAGCTCCTCCTCTGGGCTCAGGTGGCTTTTGCTGGCCGAGTTTCCCTTGATGAGCAGGTGGATCTGTGCCTGGTTCTCCTCCACCAGCTGCAGGATCCACTGCCCCTTTGGCCTGCACCCCCTGAGGCAGAAGTTGCCAGTGGCCAATCTCATTCCCCAGTTCCTGGCTCTAGGCATGAAAATCCTTGTGCTCTGCCCCCAGGCCACTGGACCTAAGGCCCAGCAACAGGACTTTCCTTTCACTGGATCCCGGAGCGGAGTGTCTCTCCATCTCCACCACAAGGCTCTGGAGGCGGCCAGTGAGGACCTGTCACTCACTCAAGCGTGCACTCTTCTGGGTAATTAGTGAATGGGATGAACAGCGGGTGACAGGGCCTGGCTGGAGTTCGATGGGTCTGGGGCCTGGGGCCTGGAGATCTCTTCTTCGAGCCCATGCCCAATACACAGGGGCCGGATCCTGCAGGGTGGTTTGTCAGCAATGTCTCAACTGAGCTCAGCCACTGTTGACAGGAACTTCTGACGTGGTCATCGCAAGGGCTTAGGATGCTGCCTCTCCTGGCCTGAGGAATGAGAAGGATCTGCAGGAACTGAGAGTCCAGAGCGAGCAGGCTGTCCGAATATCATGGAACACCTCAGACTCTAGCTGCTGACACCAGAGGTCCAAGGGTCACGTACACTTTGGCTTTCCTCTGCATGTACTGAAGGCACCTGAGCTGATTGTGCAGCCTCTGTAGGGATCTTGCAGCCCACGTTGCTGTCTTCACAGAGCCCCAGCTCAGGCCTGGAGGCAGAGTTCAATGATGGGTTTCTTTCAGGCTCTGCAGTGCTATGGTAACATCCTGAGCCTCAGTCTCTCGTCTAGCCCTTGGAGCTCTGCATGCAGGCAGGCCACAATGGCTTCCCGCTCCAACTTCGAAGCGACCTTCCGGTTGTCCTGATGGTCACACCAGAGGGCGTTTCCGTGGATTGTCTTAAACTCTTTTGACTACGGACATGTTGCATTATGTAGGCCCAGATGTCAGCCCCCGACGCAGACAAAGCCTGCACATTGTGGACTCCCCAGAGCAGGCCGCTTGGAGCACCTCCATCTCTTCTGCAGCCCAGCAACTAAGTTCCCGAGCTTTCAGCGTTGTTCCATGGCTATCTGACAGCTCAGCTTCTGTCCCAGCTTCCTGCACTCTCTACAAGTGTGACACCCACCTCTGACATCACGATGGCAACGCTAAGACCTCACCAGTTGCCAGGCCGATTGCGGGTCTCTGCCTCAGGTTTGGTTTGAGAAAAAAATATTTGTTGTAGAATATTCTCAGGACAGGCACACCCATCTTTAAAAATCAAGGGACGATAAGATGGCTTATTTTGGTAAGGTCCTTGCCAACAAGTTGGATGACCTCTGTTTGATACCCAGAGTCTACAAGATGGAAAAAGAACCAATTACCTTTAAGAGTACATTGAGCTGGGGGAGGGGTGTGCACACCTTTAATCCCAGCACTTGGGAGGCAGAGGCAGGTAGATCTCTGAATTCGAGGCCAGCCTGGTCTACAGTGTGAGTCTGAGGATAGCCAGGGCTTACACAGAGAAACCCTGTCGTGAAAAACAACCCAAAATTTAAGTGGCCATATTAACTCCATGTGCACAATGGAATGTGTCCCTCCACAATAAACAAGGGGAAAAACACCTCCAATGGTATCCACCACACTTGCCTGAAAAATTCATTCCTGGTTTTATCATTTTTTTTTATTTAATGTGTATGAGTGCTTTGTTCACATGTAAGTCTTTGCACATGTGTGCTTCCTGACCACAGAGGTCAGAAAAGGGCGCTGGACCCCTGGAACTGCAGTCGTGGATGTTTGTGAGGCACAACGTGGGTGCCGAGAACTGAATCCAGCAAGAATACCATGTGCCATCTCCCCAGGCTTCACTCCTCACTGAAAATTCAACTACAGGATACCAGGGGGCACAATACCAGGGAAAGGGAGAGTAACACCATTGGGCGTGTTCCTTACCACTGCTTGGAAATAAATATAAGGGGCGAGCCCACTTCGCCTCTGAATTGCCCAGATCCACAGTTTTCAAACAGCATTGCTAACAGAAATCCTCCTTGTCCATACAACGTTTTCAATTGGAGCACCCAAGAAATCTGAACGCTAGAGTGACTGGCTCAGGCTGAGCTTAATGGAAGTCCGTCAGCCCCACAGGGCATATGGTTAGCCATTCTTTAAATGCTCAAACAAGAGGAAGGTGTTTCTTTTTTGCTTCTGTTCCATTTTTATTCTTTTTACCATTTGTTACACTACAACATGCATCTCCAAAAGATGACAACACAAACAACAATATCAAATAAATAGATCCATGATCCTTCTTCAACTTCAAGCTATACACAAACATTTTATCAAGGTGGTTCCAGAGATTCTTATATACTTGCCAATATTTAATTTCATATCAGCCATTTTAAAAATCTTCACTTGTAACAGAAGGATACAAAATAGTTTACAAACCATCAGGAAACTTTGTGCAGATTGACATGGTCAAATATTGTTTTCCAATATTAAGTTAAAAAAAACGGTAACCCTATGAGTCACAGGGTCAGCCTTTCATTTAGTCTCCAGTTTTAGTTTATCTGAAATTCAGATTTCAGTGCTTTCTTCATGGAAAAGCAGCAATATTGTGTTTGCAGGAGCACACATACACGGGGCAAGTTTTTTTTTGTTTTTGTTTTTATTTTCCTTTGAGACAGTCTTGCTTTGTAGCATGGGCTGGTCTTGAACTCACAATCGTCTTAATTCAGCTCACTAGTAATGGGTTTTGGGTGTCTACCTCCATGCTGGTCCAAGTCTAACTCTGCTTGTGAATTACCTAAAATATGCAGCTAATGGTCAGCAGACATTGCAATGTAGAGAGCATTCAGGGCAAAGGAGCCTATTTCGTGGCTCAGGTGAGCTTAGCTCAAATGACTAGGGCCCTGGAAACTCAATGGCCACCTGTCACGCTGAGGCAGTGGCTCCCATGTTGTCTCTGGCTTGAAAGGAATGACTAGTGAGGGTGGCAGAACAGCACACAAAGCTTCACTGAGATAGAAAAGCAGCTCTTGAAACATCACAGGGAGGTACACCAGAGTGAGTTTACCTGGGGCTACGACTGAAGCCTGACTGGTCAAGCCTATACAAATGAGGGGTGGAAAAACTCATCTCCCTGCAGTGGACAGGACCAGGGATTCTGGGTGGGAGATGAGGAAGGAGGAAATGGCTTAGAGAGCCGGTAGCATGAAGGGGAAGACACTAGAAGCCGGGAGTGCTTCCTGGTGGCCAGTGGCCACCTTCTAAACTCGGGGCATTTTAGAACAGCTTCTGAGCTAAAGTTAAAGACTGCCAGCTTTACTATAGGGAAGCCATACTTCAAGGTCCAGCCCCGAACAATCAAACAAGGGGATGTCTGAACTAAGCTTACCGTATCTGACCTAAATTCTGCTTTTCTGGGCCTGGGAAACTACCTCTGCCAGGCAGGAGACAGCCTTCTGAAACCAGTGTAAGGATGATGTCTACACTGAGCCATGCAAAGCACCTCTGCCAAGATCACAGCTTTCATTCACAGGGGCCTCTTATCCTTACCTGTCAAACTAAAGACCCTACACTTCTCTACCAGCCACCCTGGAGTAATGAAGGGGTCTGTGTGTATTCTTTCCCCAGGTATAACAGAGAGGGCTAGGCTGACAAGTGTGAACTCACGCTCAGACTCTGAACTAATCAGGACTTACAAGACTCATCACTGTGAGTAGCCTGGTGCCTACTGCGCTTAGAACTGCTAATAAATGCTTTCCCACACTGGTTGCACTTGTAAGGTTTCTCCCCAGTATGAGTTCGCTGGTGGACGATAAGTCGAGCACTCAGGCTGAAGGTTTTCCCACACTGGTTACACTCATAGGGCTTCTCTCCAGTGTGGGTCCTCTGATGCTGAGTGAAGCAGGAGCTCTGCCTGAAGGTCTTGCCACACTGGCTGCACTCGTAGGGCTTTTCTCCAGTGTGTGTCCTCTGGTGAACAACAAGAACATAGCTCTGACTGAAGGATTTCCCACACTGCTTGCACTGATACGGCTTCTCTCCAGTGTGAGTTCTCTGATGCATAACCAGATGTGAGCTGCGATTGAAAGATTTTCCACACTCACTGCACTCATAAGGTTTCTCTCCTGTGTGTGTTCTCTGGTGCGACACTAGCTGAGAACTCCAGCTGAATGATTTCCCACAGTAATTACACTCAAAAGGTTTTTCTCCCGTGTGAGTCCTTTGGTGTGCTACAAGCTTATAGCTTTGACTAAAGGACTTCCCACAGTGATTGCATTCATAGGGTTTTTCTCCAGAATGAATCTTCTGATGAGCAATAAGTTTATAACTCTGGATGAAGGACTTCCCACACTGAGTGCATTCATACGGCTTCTCTCCGGTGTGAGTTCTCTGATGCGCAATAAGTTTGTAGCTCTGGCGGAATGACTTCCCACACTCGCTGCATTCATAAGGCCGCTCACCGGTATGAGTTCTTTGATGTACCACAAGAACATACCTCTGGGTGAAAGACTTCCCACACAGATTGCATCTGTATGGTTTCTCTCCAGTGTGAATTCTCTGATGAGAAACGACATGTGAGCTCCGGGTGAAGAACTTCCCACACAGGTTGCATTTGTATGGCTTCTCCCCTGTATGAGTTCTTTGGTGTGCAATGAGATGTGAACTCCAACTGAAGGACTTGCCACAATACTTACATTCAAAACGTTTCTCTTCAGAATAGTTTCTCATGTTCTGAGGAGGAGATGGACTTGAGGCAGTTTTACTACATTTGTACTGGCCCTCTTTAACAAGAATCCTCTGTTGTTCATTGAGGGATATGTCATGGTTCAAAACGTGTCCATGCCCTTTAAAGCCAAAGCTTTTACCTTCTATATGAACTTTTTCATGGAGATTTAGGGGTGTACCACGGCCAAAAGATGGAACATGGCCATTAAATTCATACGATTTATCACCTTTAGGGGTTCTTGCAAACTGAGAGAGATGAATGTTCTGAGGGACGTTTCTGCATTTTTCATCTTTGGAAAGATCGGCGTTATCACTACTCTTCTGATGACTGTTTGCAACAGTGTCGCCATGTACCTTTTTAACATGGGATGCCTGTTTATGAAAATGGTGTCTGAGAGGTATCATGGGGAAGGAATGTCGGCTGGAACTCAGGCAATTCCTGTCAAGTTCATCACTCCTGTAGATCGTCTCAGGAGTACCAGCTCTCGCCTGGGGAAAGGCCTCTTCCTCTTGCTTTTCCTGTTGTTTCTCCAACTGCTCCTTAGACGCTTCTTCACAGGAGGGGAGCCAAGGATCCTCTCTTGCCAATCCCTCTATCTTCACTCCATGGGATGTTTCTTCATCAAAGACAGTATGTTTTGGGGTGGTTTCTTCTATCCCATGCACAGCTGGCAAGTCTGGAAGACAATAAAACAAGACATCTGTGTTGGTCACTTTTAACACCACTGTGGCCAAATGCCCAACAGTAACAAGCCTGACTTTGGCACATGGTTCGGAACGTTCAGTCCATAATCACTTAGTCTTAGACTTGGGAGCTTGTGCAGAGCATCATGTCAACAGGAGTGTATGGAGAGCGTTCAACTCACAGTAGCTGGAAATCAGGGAATGATGGAGACCAGAGAGCAGGTGTAAGAGTGTCACGTGCTGGAGAACAAGCACTGAACACGTGAGCCCGTGGGGAACACTTCATAACTGAACCACAGCAATATCCCATACACTCCTCTCCCTCAACAATTAGAGCTGTAACAGTGGGATAAAGCTTACAAGACACTATACAAAATGTTTTGACTTATGTACCTATAACTTGAACTGAGACGTGAAAAGGGAGATGGCCATGAGTTGAGAGGTGTCACAGCCCTGGCCAGGCAGTGGTGGCACACGACTTTAATCCCAGCACTCATGAGGCAGAAGCAGGTGGAATTCTGAATTCAAGCATATCCTGGACGTCCCAGGACAGCCAGGTCTACAGAGAGAAGCCAGTCTGGAAACCACAACAACAAAAACTCTCAATTCTTGTTAGTACTAGACACATGTTCACTGAAATTCTAGTGGCTACATCTGTAGAAATGTCTGAAGGCATGACGCTGACTAGCACAGTGTGCATCAACAAGTCATCTGTAAACCCAGGAACAGGAACAGGACAATATTATCCCAGTTCTCCAAACACCTGATAGGCTCTGGACCCTGGATTCGTCAACAGAGACTAGAAGTTTGTACAGAACCTGAGCCTGAATGACAGTTACATAATGCATGGAACAAGGGGTCAAACACATGGTCCATAAGACAAGGAAAGCAGCAACTACCAATGGGGCTTGGAAACAGACTTTCTGCACATGCAATGGCCCTCATGTGCCTGGTTCTTAAATGGTGTGGTGGAACTATTTACTACCTCTAGGCACAGTGCCAACAGTCCACCAAAATGAATGGGAGCTATAGTGACTTCAAGAACACCTTGATCTGTAATCACAGTAATGAAACAATGAAAATACAGCGATGTTAGGTTCATGGTGCTGGTATGAGCTGGTAACATTCCCTCAAAACAAAGAGGTGGGGAGGGTCACTAGACAGTCACCACCTCCTCCTACCCACCTACATGTGTCTTGAAGAAGAGATAGAGGAGAGTGGGAACTCCTTAGTGGTGCTTGGGCTTTTGTAAGTTTTCTCCATGCTGGGTGTGGCTTCGATGATCTAGTTGCCTTTTAGTGACCTCTGCTCCTGTAATTAATCCAGAAAACTCAGTAGTTACCAAGCTGGATGTGGTGTCTGAATAGGAATGACAGTGCTCCAGCCCTAGCAAGCAGCAGAATGCGGCAGCTTCAGCCCCATGATTCTTGCTTTAGAGCCAAGGACTCAAGAAAGGGGTTATGCAACCTTCCTCTGAGACTAAGGGAATCTGCTGAGGCCAGACATGTGTCAGAATGTCCCTGAATGGAGGCCCAGAAAGGCCATTATATAAAGCTGAGTTGAAGCCTGGATTGCATGGAGATCCCAAGATGTTAGTGGTGCCAGAGTCATGGGATACCTGCTGAGGAGAGGTGTTGACAGGGGGTGGAACTAACACAAGAGAGAGACGTGTGTCACAGTCAACAAAGCTGAAAGGAGTTGGAGCTCTGAAGAATGCTGTGATATCAGAGATGGAGATGCAGAGACTGGACTGTGCCCAGCTGGTTTCCAGTCTTGCTTTGGTCCAGTATTTCCCCACAGTGCTCCCTTCCCTAACAGAATGGTAATGTGTATCCTGTGCCATTGTATGTTGGAAGCACACGGTCTGCTTTTTTTTTATTTCAATTTTACAGGGAAGAGACAGCAGCTGAACTGAATGCATGTCCACATTATGTTATGGCTGCAAGCCTAGGACAGCTGGGGGTGGAATGCGGTGGTTTGAACAGGCACCACCACAGACTCCTGTGTTTGAATAAATTGCACAATAGGGAGTTGCACCATTAGGAGGCATGGCCTTGTTGGAGTAAGTATGTCACTGTACAGGGGGACTTTAATTAAGGTCTTATATGCCTAAGCTACTCCTAGTTTGGCACACAGTCTCTTTCTACTGCCTGTGGGTCAAAATGTAGAGCTCTCAGCGCCTTCTCTAGCAACATCTCTGCCTATAGACTGCCATGTTTCCTGTCATGATGACAATGGATTGAACCTCTAAACTCTAAGTCAGACCCCAATAAATGTTTTTCTTTATAAGAGTTGCCATGGTCATGGTGTCTCTTCACAGCAATAGAAACCACAACCACAACACTGGACTTGTATGTGATTGTCTGTTACACCACCATCAAGAGCGGACAGACATTCTGTACATCTCCCCAGGAAAAGTCACATGAAAAGTGGAGAAAAAACATTGGTAAATTTTTATATTCTTCACCTTGTTTTAATTAGGAGACTGTATGGTTTGAAATGCCGGTGGAAGAAGATACTGGATTTTGGGTATTCAGGCTGGAGACAAAAGAAATCACTGCCAAGTTTAGTTCCAGGCTTTGGCCCTTAGAATCTGTGAAGTCTGAACAAACTCAAACCCAATAGACTTTGATGTATGTGTGTGCATGCATGCATGTATGTATATAATTACTGTTACTGTTATGTTTATTTGAGACAGAGTTTCTCTGTGTAGCCTTGGCTATCCTGTAAACCACGCTGACCTAAAACTCACAGTGATCTGCCTGCCTGTGCTTCCCAAGAGCTGGGATTAAAGGCGTGCACTACCACCACCACCCAGCTAATAAATTATATTTTATATAAATTTTTATTTCCATGGTGGAGTGAGGTCACCTCTTTTAAAAGTTGTACAAGGCTGAAGAACTGACTGCAAAAGCATATGAATGATTGGTGTTTACAACTCAGGATTCCAAATGACTGCTGGTCTGTCCATGCCCCCAGATCTCCAAATGTCCCTAGGCCTTCCAATGCAATCAGGTTTCCAGTTTTCAGGTGCTCCTCAGACCCCGGGATTCCCCAGCCTCTTCAGAGTCACCAGCACTCCCTTAACACCCCAGGGAGCAGAACAGGGTGCACTGAGGATAACAGGAAAGGCGCTACAAGCTAGAGAACACTCCAAGAGTGTCCCAGGGTTGCAGAAAGAATCAACGTGCAGGAGCACCACGCCCAGGACTGGTTTGGGAATGCCAGGACAAATTTTCTAGCCGCATCTCCAGGAAGATCGGGAACGACACCTGGGGTGGCCAGCCAGGGAGCCAGTGCTGCAGGCTGCCCTCTGGCCTTCACCTGCACGCTACAGTGAGTTCATGAGCCCACAAAAGAAACAAATGTAAAGATGTTAATCTGGCTGCTGCGCTGGCCACGTACTCACCCCACAGGTCTCTGTGGCCCTCCAGGACCACACTTCTCTCGGGGGTTCTCTGGGCATTGTGCCAGGTGCTCTGTTCCTCCTCAGTGAGGTCCACTGTCACAATCTTGAAGTCTGTGCTTTCCTGGAACAGCACACACACTCCTGCTTAGGTAGGCATGGTTTTGTTTGTTTTCAATATTCATGGACACACACTTTAACAACAGGGCAGTTATCCTGAGAATATCCACATCCAAAGGAAGGCCAGAAGCACCTCAGAGAGGAACACTGAACAAGATGTATACAAATTGTGCTCATCCACCCACCCACCCACTCACCCTTCTATTTCAGTGTACGGACTGAACCCAGACCCTCACACATGATAGGCAAGCACTCTACCACTAAGCCATGTTCCCAATCTTTAAAGAAGCTACTTAAGGGCTGCTGGAGAGGTGGCTCAATGGTCAAGAGTATTTTTGCTGTTGCAGAAGAGCAGGGTTCAATTCCCAGCACCCACATGGTGGCTCCCAAATACCTGTAACTCTCGTTCCAGAGGGTCCAACATGCGCTTTTGATCTCCACAGCTAATAGGGACACATGTAGTGCACACACATGCAGACAAACACACACATAAAATAATATAAATACATACTTTTTAAATTTTAGTTATTCATTTTATTTAGCTTTTTTTTTTATTATTATTTTATGTGACTGGATGTCATGCCCACTAGTACTTATGTGCACCATGTATGTACCGTGCCTGCAGAGGCAGGGAGAGAGCATCAGATGTCCTAGATTCCAGTGGCTGACTCTTGTGAGCTGATATGTGGGTGCTGGGAATTGAACCTGGGTTCTCGGGAAGAGCAGTCAGTGCTCATAATCACTGGGGCTTGTCTCCAGCCCCGAGGTTTTAATCAGTTGGTACCATCATGTGTCTGCATATGATAGAGCAGGAGCCTTCATGCACCACAGAGAGATGCTGAGCTCAGAGGAACAATCTCAGGCTCTGGCTCTTGCTTTCCGTCCTGAGGCAGAGTTTTCTTTTTATCATACTGCATACTCCAGGCTAGGTGACTTGGCAGCTTCCTTGGCAAATATCCTGGCGAGTTGATTGCTAGAGCTAGTGAAATGGATTAGAGGGAAAAGGCATTTGCCATTAAGTCTGACAACCTTGGGGCCCACAAGGGAGTGAAAAAAGACTCTCAAGTTCTCCTCTAACCGCCACACACATGCTATGGCCACATACACATGCACAGGCATGTAAGCACGTGCACACACACACACACACACACACACACACACACACACGAAAGCCCAAGTCTCCTTGCCTCTGCTCTGCTAGGCTGTACTTCTGCTGCTCACTGAGGACTGTATTCATCTTTTGTCACCGGCATTAGCAAAGTCAGCTGTCACAGAAATCTGGCCCAATGCCTGATTTTATAACTATGAGTTTATAATAATTTAATAATTTAGCCACTCCCTGTGGCTTATATATTTTAGATGACTGATTTATTTCTAGATAGGAGCATAGAATAACTAACAAAGAGACTATATGAACCATAAACCCAAAATGCATATTCTGGCCAGTGACATAAAAAGAAAACAACAACAACAACAAATTTTACTGTTGTTTGGTTTTGGAAAATATGGAGGAAATCCCTAAATGCAAATTACTAGTGCAAAATGCAGAAGAAACTTCATTAATGTGAATGAGAAGAAAGAAGGGCTGGGGGTGTGATTCAATGATAGAGCCCCTGCCTAGAATCCCCCAGTGAGGGGCTGGGGGCGTGGCTCAGTGGTAGAGCCCCTGCCTAGAATCCCCCAGTGAGGGTCTGGGGGCGTGGTTCTATGGCAGAGCCCTCATCTTGCACTGAAGTACCCTATATCCACTCCCTGGCACTACTGGCCATAACAGATAAAGACGTAAACAATGACTCATGGATTGACATCTATGGAGCAGGAATTTTGACCAGAACAGAAAGTGCTGCTGAGGGCCTCCTCAGGTGACAAAAACAATGTCATCACCACCAATCACTCTGTAAACTGAGCAGACATCTTGGGGTCAGGTCCACAAGTTGGATCATGGGACACTGCACACACAGGCCGCCATCTGTGCACACTCATTTCAAAGGGTCTTTAAGTCTGTACTTTGTGCATCCTTCTAATATCTACCCGGCCTGTTGTGTAAAGCATGGTCAAACATCAAGTAAGGGCTGGCAAGCTGGTCTAGTGGGAGAAGACACTTGCTACATCTGGGTATGACAGGCTGGGCGAGCAGTCAAACTGAGGCCCTACATGCCTGGGAGCATAAAGACCTGGCCCAAAAAGAGGACACTGGCTGCTGAGCTTGACAGCCTGAGTGTGTTCCATGAATTCCCCATGGTAGAAGGTGGAAACTGACTCTCACAAATTATCCTCGGACCTCCACATATGCACTGCGGTGTACACACAGACACACACACCTTTGAAAAGTCAAAACAACAAACAAGTAGGATGAGATGACAGAATGTATACTTCTCCAAGTTAGAGACCAGAGAAGGCTGAAAGAAACTCATCTCTTAAATAACAGCCTTGGTGTAGAGACAGTTGGGTGCATAAGATGCTGACTGCATAAGCGTGAGGGTCAGAGCTCAGATGCCCTAGATCCCACGGAGAAGGGGGACAGCTGTGGCCGCCACCTGCAATCCTAGTGCTCTGGAAGCAGACAGCATGGCCCGGGACTGCTGGCGTTAACTAGACCAGCCAATCAGAAGGCTCTGGGTCACCTGAGAGACCCTGTTGGCAGAATGTGACTGAGGGTGACAATTTGCCTGGCTTCATTGTAAGTAAGCACACACCCAGGACTGGAGAAGGCGAAAGTCCGAATTTGTATGATAACACAACAGATGGCCCCAGGTCAGCATGCAACGATGACCAGGAGAGTGACTGTTAACTTTAACACTGCAGCTTTTCCGCCCAGGACATTGTGTGGTCTGCCTTCTGCATTGGTACCACGGGTCCACTTGTTGAAATAGGTTAGTGGATTAGAACTGATGTATTTAATATCTGCCTTGACCATGCTCTGCCTCATTCCCTCGACAGTGTCGTTCACTGGACCGGAGGCTCACTGTTTTGGTTGGGCTGGCTGGCCATGAGTTTGGGGATCCACCTATCTCTCTCTGCCTTGCAGCCTTTTATAGTGGCGCTGGGGATTTGAACTTGGGTCTTCAGGCTTGCGTTGCAAGTGCTCTTACCCACTGAACCATCTTGCCAGTCCCTAGCCTTCTCTACTCTTGTCAAGCCTCTCTCTCATCTGACCAGTCAAGGGCAAGAATGGTTGGAGTGTTCTGCCCGGAAGTGCCCTGGCTCCTCCTCCATGCAAGAGTCAGGCATTCAGAGAGCAGTGGATGCATGCCTCTGGTGAGAGAGAGTGCTCTGCGCCCTGCAGTCAGGCGCCTCCACTTCCTCCCCACTAAGGCCGTCTCAGAGCCACCTGGGGGCGGAGCCCAGTCTTCCTCTCACGCTGTGGTACTGGGGATAGAACCCTGGGCCTGGTGCATGCGAACAAACACCACCACTGAGCTCCACGCCAGTCAGGACTCAAATCTAACCCTTTGAAACCTCAACTCCTCGACAGGCAGAGGTGGCGCACACCTTAATCCTAGCACTCGGGAGGCAGAGGCAGGCGGATCTCTGTGGGTTTGAGACCAGCCTGGTCTACAGAGTGAGTTCCAGGATAGGCTCCAAAGCCACACAGAGAAACCGTCTTGAAAAAACAGAAAAACAAAAACAAAACCCTCAACTCCTCAACCTGCAGAATCCTTGTAGCTCTGCACTTTGTACCTCTCTCATCACCAAGTTTCTTGGAAAAGCTGCTCACTCCTGGGTTGATACTTTCTCAATTGTTCTCCATCTTATTTTTTTGAGACAGGGTCTCTCACTGAACCTGGCGCTCACCCATTTGTCTAGACTGGCTGGCCATCGAGCCCCAGGGGTCCTTCTGCCTCCGCCTCCCCAGCATTCCATGTCCAGTTTTTCAGAAATGTGGGATGGCACTTGAGCCTTCAAGAATGTACAGCAAAGCCAAGCGATGGTGGCGCACGCCTTTAACCCCAGCACTGGGGAGGCAGAGGCAGGTGGATCTCTGTGAGTTTGAGGCCAGCCTGGTCTACAGAGTGAGTTCCAGGACAGCCTCCAAGACAACACATAGAAACCCTGTCTCGAAAAACAACAACAACAACAACAACAAACCCCATAAGAATGTACAACAGAGACCTCCCCGCTTCTCACTGGTCCACCCACTCTTGCTTTCATCCCCCCTCTCTCTAATCTTGTCCCAGCTCCCTCCAGTTTGCTCCCACCACTCGCTCCATGCACTCCTCTCCAGGTAAGGGAACGGGCCTTGCCCAACTCACCTGGGGCATGGTGTCCAGGGACCCAGCGTCTTCTCCCTCCACTTCGACGATCATCTCTTGGGGTAGAACAAAGTTCTGAGAAACCAAGCAGATGAGACAAAGGGAACCTATCAGAGAACAAAGCAGAGACTGGAACCCTCATGATGGGTCAACAGGATCTGACCCGAATCCAACTGCCAATCTCTGCTCCCTCCACACAAGCTCAAGGGAACCTGTGCAGAGAAAGGGAACCTCCCAAGGGATGAGGCCCTACATGGCACAAGCCGATTGTGACTGCTTCAGGGTGGCCCTGCTCTCAGCTGAAGGGGGAAACAGGATCCCAGGAGCCACCTGGAGCAAAGCAACTCTCCTGTCCTGTCCTGACCTGTCCTGTCCCCTGGGCCCTACCTAATCTCGTGTCTCTCAGCAGTAAGGAAGCAATGCAGACTCTAACATGACCCCAGCCGGAAACAAGTCCCCAGACTCCAGGGTGTCCTCTGCTTCGGCTGCCCTTTACATGTTTGCTGCTGCCATCTTTCTCTGGGGTCTGGCATTGTGTGATTGGGTGTGGAGAGGTCCCCACTGCCTGTAATGTAGTGTGTTTATCTCATGGAGACATCCCATTCTTTCTACTGGGCATTTTTACCTGTGGATTATAATGAAGATGGTTTCTTCCTAAGCTGTACTGTCTAATTGACAATAATAATGTTAGTTTAAATAGAGTTTTGATGATTAAAAATATAAACAAGGGAATGTCACACAGCTAGGGCCTACGAGTCTCACCTAAGGAGCTGCATGAATCGCAGTTCAGGTTAATGATTAAGGAAAACAAATGAGTCCCCAGGAGCCAGGCTGGCTCGGATTCTTTTCGTCTTAATGTTGAAAGATGCAGTCACAGGTTTCGGTGTGCATCACAGCTGAAATAAAGCCTTAGAATAGCTTCAGGTTGCATTAAATGTCTTGATAATAGCTTTGAGATGAAAAACCCTAGAAAACAATCTAAAGTTCACAAGGATACCTAGCTGAGTTATAGACTCATTAGGTTATCGTCAAAAACACAAAGCAGCCCAATGGTTATTAGTTAACATACATTCCTTGCTAGGGTTGGTTGATGATCAAAGATGACGGTTAATTCCTTGTACCGATTTTTACGCTCAATCTCCTGATATAAAAAAACCAATGATGAGTGGGTACACATCCTAAAGATTTAAAGTAGAGCTAACTGATTTTTTTTCATGTAATAAGCATAATTTTGGTTTGTGATTCCCTATAAGAATACCTTTAAAGATAAGTAATAAAGTGATTCTTTCTTTGTAAAAGCAATATGCAGACTGCCAGAAACGGCTGAGAAAAATACCCTGCTTACTCATACTCTGTTAATCTATAACAAGTTACTTAGATGTAGATGTATGTGGGTTCTTGGGATGACTTTGTTTTAATCGTGTAAGGGAGATGAAAAACATTTGTACCTGTATTCATTATAACCCTTTACCTGCAAAATAGATGTAATCACATTGTAATTTCTACATTGCCTGGAAGATTTTTGGGGGGTACGTAAGCTGTAGAAAAAAAAAAAAATTAAACAGACAGACTACAGAAAGAGAATACAGAAGGAAACCATCAAGAGAGTGTGTAAGTGTCTTTCCCTTATCCCCTCAGATAAAAAAGTCACAGTATGTCAACTCTATGGGTTTCCCTTTGCGCTCTGTGCTGTAGGAGGCTAGCACCCCAAGGAAGTCCAAAGTGACTAACTAAGGTAGGCATGGTGGTATGTGACTGTCACCATAGCACTTGGGAGGCAGAAGGATCAAGAAGCTCAAGGCATGCTGGACAACGCAGCTGGGTACAGGCCAGCCTGACTTGTGAGATTCTGCCACTATCAAAGAGCTCCAATAACACAGGGCCGGAAGATGGCCCTGTGGTGACGAGGAGGAGAGTTTGGATCCCAGCACCCACATCACAGCCCAGGCTGCACCACAAATGTCTACCACCTGCTCTGAGCTGGGCAGAGACAGAAGAATCGCTGGACCCTCTGTCTCTGAGCCTAGCCAACAAAAACGCAAGTCACAAGTTCAGGGATGAGAATAAGAACGACAAAGGACATCTGATGCAAACGCACAACACACCTGCACACATGAACCCGGACACAACACATACACAAATAAGAGCATCAACAATAAAGAAACTATTAAGAGTATACAATGTCACAGTTACGGTTTCTAGTGCTGTGAAGAGACACCATGACCAAAGGAAGGCATTTAATTGTGGTGGCTCGCTTACAGTTCAAAGGTTTCGTCCACTACCATCACGACAGGCAGCAAGAGAGCATGCAGGCAGACCTGGTGCCAGAGAAGGAACTCAGAGCTCTACATCTTGACACTCAGGCAACAGGAAGTGGTCTGTCTCACTGGGTGTGGCTTGAACATACATGAGACTGAAACCTCAAGCCCGCCCCCCAGTGACGCACTTCCTCCGACAAGGCCACACCTCCTAAGGGTGCCTTTCCTTTTGGGGGCCATTCTCTTCAGACAAAGTTGGGGTTAGAGAGATGGCTCAGCACTCAGAGCACTGGCTGAGATTCTAGGCAGCTCTTTAGGCATCTCGTAGCCGCTGGCTCCTGATTCTGCCGTAACTGCAGGGACCTGGGAGGTGCTGGGCATGTCAGCTGGGAAGTCTAACTAAAGAGGCTCCCTACACACAGCGCCGGGAAGCCGTCCTCTAGGCCAGGGGCAGCTGTCCCAGTGAGGCTGCTGGGGCGCCCGTGCTCTCCAAGGACCCCAGCTGAGCTTAGCTCTGATGGAACTTTGTTACTGGGATTGTATAAGGAGGGTGTCTGGCTTTTACTCCTAGAAGGGTACTCTGAAAACTAGCCTGGCATTCCGCATCTCCTTCCTGGTTTCTGCTCACTTCCCTACTCGCCTGGTATTTTTAACAACAGAGGGTCTCACTATCGGTTATCTGACAAAATTACAGCCAGAGGGAGAGATGGGTCTATTTCCCTCATGCAGGAGAGAGTGCTAGCCATGACGACACAAACCCCTCCCTTTCCACCGCCCCGCCACTGGCGCTCCAGCTAAGGCGCCACCCCACCAGACAATACAAATCCTTGTCTCATTCCCCTTCCATTCTTTTTCTGGCCTTACCAGACATGTTCTAGAGCAGTAAAAGGACTGCCTCGCTCCCCCATGGATTCCACATTATGAAGAAATGTGACTGAGGGCCAATGAGATAGCTCAATGGATAAGGACACCCACTGACTCTAAGTTGTCCTGGCTGCCACAGGTGCACGGTGAACATACATGTATGTATGTGTGTATGTGTGCATGCACAAACATACACACAAATATACACATGGTTTGCTTGAGCCAGAGTCATAGAATAAATTCCTAGCAACACAGATGATTGACTTCCTTGTACACAACACATGCGAGGGTTTCTTTGTCTGGCCGTGATCAGTTTGTGGCTGCTGTGAAGTACCTTCAACTAAGTGTCAGAGTTGACAGACAGTCCGTAAATTAACTTTAAAAAAAGTTCGTAACCCTGAAAGCCCCTGACAAACATCTCAAATACTGATTTAGGCTGAGTTCTGAGTCAGCTGCTGTGTTATCCTGTAACTGTGCTCATGAGCGTCTTGCACCATCAACAAAGGGACAGGAAAGGTAGGTCAGGACCAACGCACTGTCACTGTCTAGCTTCAAAGTCTTCAGCAAGTCACCTCGTTTCTGACTCTCCTACAGAATATTACTAAATTTTTGTAGTATTAATATACATGACTCCCTGGTTTGAATTGTATGTCTAAGTGCTGACTCTTATAAAGATGATAGTACCAAATAGTCAGCCCTGAAAACATAAATACAAATAACAGAATACAAATGGAGAGGTTATACTTAGCAATATATGTACACACACATATATGCACATACACACGCAACAACAATTAATGAAAAAAAAGGTCTGCAAGAGAGTGAGGAGAGGGATATGGAAGGGGTTAAGGGTGGAGAGGGAAGGGGAGATGATGTAATGATATTGTAATCTCAAAATTAAAATAAAAATTTTAAAAAGGGAAGCATATTCTCCTTTCCCCTTCATACCGCCCGTGTTCTCCACCCCACCTTGCTTAAAGAGAAATGAAGACAGGGAAGGTCAAGTGAAGATGAATGGGAGGGTAGGAGAGAGAAACGGGAGAGGGGAAATTAGCACAAAAATACTTGAAGGAAGCTGTGTGTAGACGTGAGTTTTATAAGCTTCCTAAATACGCATGCATTTATACATGTAAATCCACACACACACACACACAGTGTATGTACATATGTACATATGGATGTACGTGAGCGAATTTAATCGGCATTACCCCACACAAATACACGAGGGCTAATGCTCCTCCTGAAAACATAGGTTCCCCAAATGGGAAACCTCCCTCCAGTTGTTAGAAAAGGTGCATTGCGGGGAGCACTGGTTTGATTTTGCTTCTTTTTCAAGACAAGGTTTCTCTGTGTAACAGCGCTGGCTATCCTGGAACTTGCTTTGTAGACCAGGTTGACCTTGAATTCATATAGACAAGCCTGCCTCTGTCTCCCAAGGTATATCACCCTGCTCCCACCCATAACAATGGTCTGACCCTCTGAACTCTAAGCCCCACCTTAACTGAATGTTTTTCTTTGTAAGAGTCACCATAGCTATGGTGTCACTTCACAGCAATAGAAACCCTAACTAAGACACATGTTAATAGGCAAAAGATTGCCATACTGAGAATAACTCACTCACACGATAATGCTTTAGACGCTATTCCAAGGCACTGTAGAATGAGTTACCTAAAGGCTTTAATATGGGTTTTGTATAATTTTAAATGAGGCATTTAAATTGAGTAGGATATTTAATCCAAAAGAAATTATTGGGCTTTTGGATTCTCCTCAGCATTGGGAAAAGCGAAAAACCATCCTTTTCTGCACTAAGCATGGTGGTTCACATTTAGTAGTGGAAGGAAGGTGTGTTAGCTGTGTGTGAGTTCCCGCCTATAAAAAGGTGGTGGCTGGAGATATGGGCCAGCAGTTAAAAGCACTTGAGGCTCTTGCAAAGGACCTGAGTGTAGTGCCCATACCCACAAGAAGCAGCTCAGAGCCACCGCTAACTCTAGCTCCAGGGTATCTGCTGCCCTCATCTGGTTTTGTGGGCACCTGCACACATGTGGAATATATCCACACACAGACACATACAAATAAGGCTTTAAAAACAAAGAAATGTGGGCTGGAGAGATGGTTCAGCAGTTAAGAGCACTTGCTGCTCTTCCAGAGGATCTGGATTCAATTCCAAGCACCTACATGGTGGCTCATAAACATCTGTAACTCCAGGGCCCTCTTCTGGCCTCCCTGGGCACAGGCAAGCTTGTGGTGCATAGGTAAGCATGCAGGCAAAACAGCCATACACATAAAATTTTACAACAAGTAAATAAAAAAATAATCTTTAAACTTTAAAAGGGGGGCTGGAGAGATGGCTCAGGGGTTAAGAGCACTGACTATTCTTCCAAAGGTCCTGAGTTCAATTCCCAGCAACCACATGGTGGCTCACAGCCATCCGTAATGGGATCTGGTGCCCTCTTCTGGCCTGCACTAAAAAAAAAAAAAAAAAAAAAAAAAAAAAAAAAAAAAAAACTTTAAAAGGGTGGGTGGGGAGCTAGAGACCTCAACAGTGAAAAGTTCAGATTTCAGAATTCCAGCAACAAGTCAGGTGTCCCATGCACACCTGTCACCCCAGCTCAGAGGGGCAGAGAGCAGAGACTCCCTGGGACTTACTGGCCTCCAGCCTATCTGGGGAAACATTAGTCTCTGATGTGTGACAGACTTTTCCTGGGGAGGTGAAGCATACGCATGTCTAGTCAAGCCAGAAAGGGAACCCATGCATACCAAAACAACCAACGCACCAATGTCCACCTTGGGGAAGCAGTGAGTTTGTATTGAGGTTTGTATTGAGGGCATGGGTGAGGGGTTTCCTGACAGAGCAGCTGCACCCCGGGGTGCTCTGCACAGCTGGCAGACAGCCTGACAGGCCCAAAGGCTCTCTCTCCTCGGCAGCATGCCTCTCGGAGTCAGTTCTGCAGCAGGTGGCTTTTGCTTCCACTCGTGCCAGGCCAGGGAAGGAGCCCTCCCGGCTCTCACAGGTTTGCACTTATCGGGCCTGTGACATCTGACTTATTGACCCCCCCTCCTCAGTGGAGCCCTTCAATCTGGAAGAAACTGCTCTTCAGCAGAAAGGCCACCTCTCAAAAGAGCACGTAAAGAGTAACAGAGAACATCCGGAGCCTTCTGGTCTCTGCACATGCACCTGTAAACACGCGTGCTCATGTACACATAAACACACAGGGTTAATTTTTTACAAGCCTGCTGCCCGTGAGGGACCAAATCCCTTAAAATACTGCAGAGAGAATTCCAAGGCTCAGACTGTGGGCCAGGCAGGAATGAACAGAGGCTACCGGGGAAGGGGCGCCTGCGCTCACCTCCACACAGGCCTGCGGGGACTCCAGGGATTCATCATCTTGCTGCTCCATGTCTCCTCCAGGTGTAGCCAGCTGCCAGCTGTACAAACAAAGAGAAGCTCTGAGCATGGCCCACACAGCCACCCTCCAGTCCAGCCTGTCCCCCTAGATTAGCTTCTAGAAGCTAAAGCCCCAATTGGGCATTAACCAAGAATCCCTCAGTTGTCCCTCCACTCCCACCACCCTGTAAGCCAACCCCAAGCTCAAACGCAGCCTTCTGCTCCAATCAGAACCTTCACTGGGTCATGGGAGACCCACAAACACCTATCACACAAAGAACTCTTTACATTACGTACTCGACCGCCCTAAGCATGCAACCACAAACCAGTAGCCATTCCTAGGGCCAGGAACCATAGCCACTGACCACATGGACAAAGCTAGGGACACAGCCCAGCCTTCCCAGGGCCATGAAGCTCGGGACACAGCCTGGTCTTCCCAGGAACTGACTTCACCACAGCCTCTTCATCAACCAGGCCAGATCTTTCAGCAAACATCCCAGAGTCTCCACCTTCCTATGTAAACTGCAGGGGACCGGACCCCAGCAGCCTCCACCATCTAACCTGAATCTGGCTGACATTCTCACCCAAACCCTCAGGCCCTCAATTTGTAGCTTGAACCTCATTCCTCTGCTGACTTGGGAGGGGAGCACTGGCAGGCACAGCACAGCACATACCAGGCCCAGAACCTGTATCTCTCTGTAGCTCAGCTGTCTTTGTGCCAATCTAATGTCACAGACTCTGAAACCAGGGCAGTGCCTGGCCAATCCCAGCTAGGCACCGTCCCCGCTTACTAGTGTATGTGGTTGAGGCCGGAGCTCAGGGTTTTGTGCAAGCTGGCAGTCTACCCACTAAGCCCCAGCCCCCGCCCCGTCTTTCTCTTTCACTACCTGCCCGATTCTCACTCTAGCAATAGTGTATAGCCCCAGCGTCTTTCCCCAGACTTGGAGCATCAACTGATGGTGATGACAGCAAACTCCACGAAGACCCAAGCACTGTGTATCTACAGTCCACTTCCAGCAGGCCATGGTGGCACGTGCCTTTCACCCCAACGGATCCCCACCCGGATTTGTACCCAGGCCCTGAGCTCTTTGCCAATCTGCGGTTCTTTTTTGCTTTGTTTTGGTTTTGATTCCTTAGTTTTTTGAGATAGGCTATCATGTAGTCTAGGCTAGCCTCAAACTCACCATCCTCCTGCCTCTACCTCCCTGAGTGCTGAGTTTATGGGCATGTGCCACCAGACCTGGTTCATGAAGTGCTAGAGATGGAACCCAGGGCTTTGTACATGCTACAGCCAAGCACCTAACAACCTGAGTTACACCCCCAGATTGGGTTCTCTCTCTCTCTCTCTCTCTCTCTCTCTCCCTCTCTCTCTCTCTCTCTCGGTTTTTTGAGACAGGGTTTCTCTGTATTACTTTGGAGCCTGTCCTGGACCTCGCTCTGTAGACCAGGCTGGCCTCGAACTCACAGAGATCCGCCTACCTCTGCCTCCCACACCCTTCAGTTTACACACACTTAAGAGTCTGCTGGGACTGAAGGCGTGCGCCACCAGCGCCCGGCTTCCAGATTGGGTTCTTACAGGAATCTGAATCCCCTTATGCCTGGAAGTCACAGCTGCCACAAAGGCCCCGCAGGCACCAGCTCTGCATGCCTGCAGAGCTGCAGTTAAAATACACTATCGCTGGTATCTAAGCACACAGCTCCAGAGCCACTCCTAGCACCCCTGTGCTTGGCTCCCGAGGGTTCTCAAGCCTGTGCCCAAGCTCCTCCCATGAGACCTGGGCCCTTACCCATCCTCACCCTCCTATAAATCCAGGCATTCTACTGCTTGAAGACAGAATGGCCCAAAACAAAGGCAATACCAGCTCTGAAAAGGTGCTCACAGTGTCCACCTCCTCCCAGACTGCTCTCAGAAGGCAGCTAATTGAGAAGTCCTTTGGGATGCAGAGTCCTTGCCTCTAAGCTAGAGTCTCTACCCAACTTGAACAGTTTAGAATGCTGCATAATTCTACATGGGTGCCAGGATTCAGGTCACCATCCTCTAACTCTGGAATGCACAAGGGTGCATTCTGCCTAGAACCCTCTGCTAAGCCCTGGGACCCTCAATCCAGGACTTGGCTGTCTAAAGGATTGATCAGCTCACGCAACATTGCATATTTTATGGTAAGAACAGGGAACTCCAGCCTGCTCTCTTGTGTACCCATTTTCTCCAAACTGAAATGCTCCCTCGTAGAGGGAGGTGGGAGGCTAAGACTCAAGAAGCAAACAAAACTTAAAAATCCCAGAAGCTGAAACTTTTGAGTTTACACACACACACACACACACACACACACACACACACACACCATTCCTCAAGGTTATGGAAGCAAGAGCAATGGCTGGGAAGAGGTACTCTGCCGAGAGAGCAGCTTTCCTGAGCCATCGCCCATGGGCTTTTCAGTGACGTACCTGAGTCATCCATGCTCCTGTAAGTAACCCCTCACCCGTACTTCCCCGTAAGGAGCAACAATAAACTCACTGGCTCACCAGGCTAAACTAGGATGTGACCGTTTCTTTGGTTGGTCGCCATGCCTGACCTGGGAACAGAAGACAACATATCTCCAGCAAGCAGGACACCCCCAGGTTTGCAAGACCAGTCTCTGCCCGGGGTCGTAGAACCACCTTCCAGAATGCTGGCTGTTGCTTCCGACACAAACACTTGCTCAAGAGTACAGAAACAGTGGCTCAGTCCCTCTCTCTAGGAAAAAGAATCTGGGCGTTGGAAGGCTCTCCACTAAGTAGGCATGAGGAGGAGGGGGCTCCCCGGCACTTCAGAAGACAGGTGGGGAATTAACTGCTCAGGTCACAACCACGTCCGCACCAGTGTCTCTCCCTGCTGTCAAGGCTGACCCTGCATTCACACCTAAGGCCACCAAACTCAGTTATTAGGAGCTATAGGTGGCAGACACGCCCTATAATGGACTCAGTGGACTAAATGGGCCCATCCTCCCCACATCAAGGTCACACACCCCTCCCCTCCAGGTAGTAGTAACACAAGACACTCTGCTCCCTGTGGCAGGCAGGTCACAGGCAGGGGCGACCCAACGATGTGGCTCCCTCCTTCCTCCGAAGCCGGTGAGGGATCCTAGGGTGCCACGTAGACCTGAACTCTTCCTTACCTCAGAGGCCCCCACCGTGTTGTTTTTCCGGGCCGAGAGCACCTCTGCTAAGGATTTCCCACGTAACTACGCCTGTGCCCTGGCATCCATCCTTGGGGACATCTCCGGTCCGTCCCAACACCACACACACACCCAACCACGCGCGCATGCGCGCACCGCACAGTCCCAGCTGCTGTCGCCAGGGGCGTGCGTGCACGACCCGCA